GACCCAGCGGCCGTGGGGTCCATCCCTGCACCAGCGCAGGATACGGCCCAGAACAGCCAGGCACCATCCCTGGGAATGGGAAGGGGGGAAATAGCTCCGACACGACCAATGCTTCATCCTCAGCCTGAAGGTTTCATCCCCACCCTCTGTAATCTTAAATTCTTCGAAATATTAGGCAATTGGAGAGGAATCACATTTTTTCCTTATAACTAGGGAGAGTCCCCTAATCCCTGGCTGTTAAATACTATAAAACATTATAAATGAAGGTCTCTCTGTGTTCTCCTCCCTGCAGCACCGGCCAGGACCAACCCCTGTGCCTACGGGATGAAGGCAGGCTCAGACCAGGCTTGAGCATCACCTTCCAGTGCCTCGGGTCCGCTTGAGGGAACAGAGCAGACGCCTCTGAAACGTCAAACTCCAGCTTTAGAGCAGCCAGAACCGGTTCTGCGAAGGCAAGCGACACGTTAATCCGTGCTGGCCGCTGCAGGAAGAGTTACTATAAATGGGGATCTATCTGGCAGAGCCCCAGACAAACCTCTGTGCGATGCGCAGCCGACGCGGAGCGGCCGGGAAGTGGGACAGGCTGGGTGTGAGATGGTGGATGAAGGGGGAAGGAGTCCCTGAAACTGGTCCCAGCGCAGCACCAAACCCTGGTGCTTTCAGGATGCTGCTGGAAGAGCAGCTTCATCACTGGGGTTTATAGTGACAGGGACCCATTTTGGGGGGCTGATGGTGGCTGGGGATGGGAACAGGGGTTTGCGTGGCCTCATGGTGGGGACAGGGGAGGGCGTACGTGGTCCCCAGGCTGGGAATGAGACAGCACCAATACAGCCCTTGCTGCGTTCCTGTTAGGAGTCATCTTTTCCTAACAAGCACATGTCTCTTCGGTAAATACTGATTTCACCTATGAACAAATGTGAATTTATTTACATCAGAGACTTTGAGCCAGGACTGGCAACTCTGACATAAAATGAATAATGCAACGGATCCTCTCCTTGCCGGTTGCTATGGGTACTGGGCTGTTTTAGCCTCCGTTTATAAACATTAACGGTGAAGGGGATGTGGAAACTTATCTAAAAATAAAATACTATGTCCAAGTCTTTAAGAGGAAGGTCGTTGAGATGGCGATTAAAAAAATCCTCGTGTAATGGCTCTGAAGCGGTGAAACACAAACAGCATCCGCCAGCCCGGCCGGAGGAAACAGAACGGGACTGAAAAGGCTGAGCAATGCCCAAAGGGTGAATTACAACATGCAAAAGCAAAAGGAAATGGAATCGTTTTGCAGAGGTGACACTGAGAAAAGGGAGGACCCTCTGCCGAGGGGACGATGCGATGCTGAGCTGTGGCACCGCATCCTGGTGCCAGCACAGGAGCCGGCAGCAGCGCAGCTCCCTGCTCCAG